GGGTTTCGGGTATCTCGCATCCCGGTCATCGGGTAGTAGGTCAGTATAAGCCATCATATCCCCCCCAAAGCCCCGGGCACCTTGTACCTTTAGTGAATGCGAAGCTTTCTGGTAGCAAACTCTCCACTCCGAATCCCAAATCGTAAGCTCTGCTATCGATGCGGGAGTTTCAGAAAACGGAGGACCCTAAGATAGACGCCACATGGTAGGATCCGTCGTCTAAAAACGGAACCCCAGTTGTCACCTCAGGGTTCCTAATCCTGATTTTTTGGGGTATTTCGGCCTCTTAACCGGTTCCTTTCAGAGCTCCTTCAAGGGTTCCTTTAAGGGGTTCCCTAAAATAAGGGTCCTTCTGGGTTGAGGTCCCTAGATCATGTGATTCTCCACAGGAATCCTCCTCCTGTTGATGTTGTATTCCGGTGTAGGGTTTTAGGGTTAAGAGGTCAGGATTCCTGGATGTAGGGTTTCAAGTCACAAGTTCCCGCTTTCCTTTGCCCGTCACCCTGCCGAATCACCTCCAACTGAAGATAGCTTGTCGTCAGTGGTATTTGTGATAAGTGATCTACAGCAACCACAAGCAACAAGTTGCAAGGACTATGCCGGAGTTCCCGTCGTTTCCGAAGCTCACAGAAGGTGATGTCGTGTTTTGCGTTCTGCTCTGGAGGCCGAGTTTAGAAGCTTTCTGAAACACTCGAATCTCGAATTCGGGTAGGGTTTAGGGTTTAGCGTTTAAGCTCTTTTGCCTAATCCCCAACCCTGAGCTACCTGAATACCGCTGATCTTTTCACACTCCAAGTCTTCGTTAAGCAGGACTCCTTCATCGCCGATCTTGTCGTGGGCCTTCGCACTGGGCAGTCGGGGAACCCGGAAAATATGACGAGCTTCGATCCTGAATTTCGAGTTCAGGTGGTATGAGGTTTATGGTTTAGAAGGTTTAAGTTGATATGTCGGGGGAGGTCGGCAGACTATGCTAGATAGTCAGTCTCTATGCCTTATACGTATACTGTACTAAACTTCGAAACAAAAAACGATCCCAGTCCCGACAGTCTTACATTACAATAATAACCCCACAGCCCTGTTCTGACTACCATGCTTGGCCACGTGACAATGTGGGATTCAAGATGACTGTCATCCTTGCTCATCCTTGCTCGGCTATGGTTTTGTAGAGGTGCCTAGTACCTGCAAAAGATCTGGATGCCGTTTAACCGAATACCTACTCTGTCGTGTTTTTTTATCAAGATACACACGTACTTCATGCATTCATACAGACACGCATGCACACGCAGACATGCATGCATACATACATACCTGCCTTCACAAATGCGCACGTACATGCGTACGTACGTCGGTACGTACATGCATGCTAAATTGCATACATTCGTTCATGCATGCAATTAATGTGCATGCATACTACCTAAAACAAGCTCTTTGATACATAATGCGCTTAGGTACGCGCATACCAACCTAC